CAAAAAAAAAATAAATAAATAAATAAATAATGAAAAATCAGACAAACACAAACAGAGCCTATGGTGACAAGATTTTTTGATCACATCTCCCTGCCTGCTCCATCTTCATCCATTCCCACTCTCACTGATACTTACGTACTTTTTAGATGTTCAGGCTCAGCTTCTTTAAAGTCATATGTGAAATATTTGCAGGTTAAACTGCATCTTTTGATGGCTTATCTAAATAACCACACTTATTGAATCAGTGTCACCCCTTGTACTTGGTTGAAATGTTTGCTGTCAAAAGAAGAGTCCTTCACACTGTGCATCTTTCTTGCCTATTTCTGAAATCTGAGAGGAGGCCCTAGAAAGAATTAATGCTTCCTTCTAGATTGGTGATAGCTTCTGTGCTTCATCATTAGTAGAGTTTTGAAATGTATAGTTTCCCTTGCCAGCACATCAATGTACTAAATTCAAGTTCCAACCAGGCATTTCCATGTTTGAAAAGAGCCACAGGGAATCCTGATACGCAAAGACAAAGGCTGCTTCTTGCTGGTCTGTAGCGTAAATCCAGACAGGTTATAATTTTGAATTTATTGATGCTAAAGTGAGAAAGAACACAACCAAGGACTAAACTTTTAATTCCTGTACCTGTAATGGCAGAAAATTATTACTCACATGATGTCAGATCTGTGGAGGTTTAAAAAGAAGACACAGTCCCCAAGAGAAGAACCATCGATGGTTATTTTGCTAATTTTTTTCCTAATTGTATTTTGAATAGGAAACAGTTTATGTTGTTATGATTTTGAGAAGAAAGTGAAGCAGTTCTAGAGTGAAATTTGAATAAATACTCTAATAATGAGCAGAGTATTGTCTGTGCATTTTCATTCAGTGAAGCAGGCTTAAATTGGAGACCAGCTGGCATCCATAGAGTTGCTAAAAATCACAGTATCCACATGGGTTAAGATTCTAAAAGCCAAACTAGTTTTTGTGTTTTGTATCTTACCTTGGGTTTCTGGAGATTATAAACATGAGAAAATAAGGAACATTAAATGGGAGTTTATTCTCTAACGATGGTTGCTATCTCTAATATACCCCATTACTGTACACCACGATATATACCATACATTAAATAATTCCATTCAGTTATTCGATTGCAGATTCCACACTGAATGGTAGAATTATATATTAATAGTAAAGTGACATTTGAGAAGCTCTTATAAAGCATAATGTAAGCTGTTAATGTTAAATATAACAAGGATTCATATACTTTAGTGAACAGCGGATGTCTGATGCAAATGAGAATCACATATTACTGAGTTTCATGGGCCGAGATGATTAGATCAAGGTTAACACAAATGACGCTAAGGAATGAAGTGAGGATGATGTAAATGATACAACAAATGGAGCCAAATTATTGGACATTTCTGGAGACACATGACATGTTAAGTATCATCATAGATTTTGTGAGGAATATTGCAAAGCTATAAATAAACCTAGGGCATAATCACTCTTAGATTTAGATATTATGGTGTATTCATCTTGTCAACTAGCCCTATATAGAACCTATTTACCCTGAGAGCTTTATTCTGGAGTATCAAATTGAATAGGAAATACTCTGAACTTAAACTCATGGGCCTGTATTTCTAAAAAACTCGCTGTGGAAATCTGACATCACGGAATGAAGAACCATCATGGACTTTGATATAGAACTTTAGAGAGTGCAAATATTTTTCTTTTTGGCCACATAATATGCTTCATGGGCCTCTGCAAGTTATTTAACATCTCTGGTGCTCTGAATTTTCTTCTGTAAACTGCTGTTAACAGCAATAATCTGTGTGATTTTAGAGGCCAAATTAAATAATGCTTCTAGGGTACTACTCAATAAACACATTCTCCTTTCCTCTTTTGAGTCATAGATTGTAGTAGACTAGGAAAATTAAGTATCTTCATAATTAATTGCAAAGTCAGTTTGTATGTCTCCACTAGAAGGGGTAGGTAATTAAAGGAGCCTATTTTTAGTGCTTGAGAAAAAAAAAGAAAGAGAGAGACTACCCAGTAAGCAGAAATTACATGGCTCAAGATCAATTTCCAACATGAAAGATAGCTACATTGCCTGTCATCCTGTGTTAGTGTACTGCAAGAGAAAACTAGACTGGAAAATTAGCAAGGTTGAAGGTGGAGAATAAGATGCACCACGGCTAAATGCACAGAGGCCCTGAGACACTACCTATCAGGGAATATTCTACTCTCTGGAAAGCTGTACCTTGAAATGTCTCTTTTTCTGATGGAAAACATTGACAATCGTAAGGAGGGGAAGGCATGAGAGAAAAGAGAGAATGAATACGTTGGAGTTTACTCAAAGAAAACTGAACTTCACCAGGAAAGGATCTCTTACTATTTTCTGAACTATTTATTTCTGTTGTTAAACTGAACAAATCAAAAAAATGCACATATATTAGTGCATGGATACATATTCATACAGCCATGCTGGGGAATCATTAACCTCTTTTATGATGTACTAAAAACCTATATAAAGATCTGCGAACTGTCTCTTTCCTTTGTCATTACTGTATGACGTGACTCAAAGTGTGGAACCTGGGTCTTCAGAGCTTTGATGCTGTGAGTTTAGCAGTTCAAGCCAGCAGAGGGCTCCCTGCTGTAACATGATTTTGTACCTGCAAAGTCCAGCAATTGCTGCTGAGTGGCAAAGGTAGGGTTTAATATTTGTTATGAGTTTAAGTGTTGGCTCTTGCTCTGTGCTGCCTTCACAAAGAGATAAGTGAAGCGAAGCCAAACCCACTTACGATGCTTCAGATACAATTCGTTAATTTTTCTATTATGCAAAATTGAATCTTGCCCAGCTATTTCCGACTAAAAAATAAATTTGCTTCAATTCTGTGTCATGAGTGTATGCCAACACCTGGAAGCTGATTATCCTAATAGTCCCATATTTTTCTCTATTCAATGCTTCAATAACATACTTATTAAATGAAGTTAACTAACAGATCTGTCTCTTGGACCCAATGGTGAATATAGGCAAGGCTCATTGAAGAACATAAATATTTTCATACTTATAATTTTTATTATTTAAATTATAACTTGAAATCTAAGAAATGCTGGAAGTAGAAAAGTAAAAAACATTTTTTTTCAACTCTTTCCAGTTTTCCTTCTTTGGACTTTATCCTGCTTAGCAGTGTCAGTTCCCTCCTGATGAAATACCAGGCAGATGTTTTACAATCCCAATATTAAAAAGTACACTTAACTCCTTGAGCAATATTATTTACAGAGTTTTATTAACATCATTGTGACAATTTTAAATAACACAGAATTATCTCATGCTCCTCAGTCTGCCAAAATAAATTGACCAAATATATGAGACCTACGTATCACAAACCTGTTGAACAAACAAGGTCTGACAAATGCCATTTATTTTCATTTCATTTCATTTCAGTGATGTCTTTTTCTGTAATGAAGTTCCTTAGCTTCTGTGGTGTGCAAAGGTACAAGTAGTGTTAAGCAGACAACCAGTGTAACACATTTTTATTGCTACAAATATTTATCTAGGCACAATTTTCTGGAACATCCAAAGAAATGTTGCCAAATCAATGCAAAGGCAATAGTCATTTTTTTTTTACTGTTTTTTTTTTAAAGTTTTCTTCCTCAATTTTCTTATTATCTTAAGTGCTACATGAACATAAAACATTTTTATATTTTGGATTCTTTGTTTTTCAACTATAGCAATAAGAGAAAGTGATTGCAACTGACTTTAATCATAATAAGTAACAAATATTAAAAACAAACAAGAGTAAAGAAGTATATTGACTTTTCATTAACAAATCATTCATCTAAACACTATGTATGATCATTTTGTTTCCTTACCCACCAGTAATACATTGTGCAAAAAATAATTAAAACAAGAGAAGTATATACACACTTAGTCTATTTCCAAGGACCCGAAGTAAGTTGTTTAATGCTTCTAACTCCCCAGAAAGCAATGCACGTGGAAAAGAGTATCTGAAGAAACAAAACATAAAGACAAAATACAAAAGTGAATTCATCTTTTTGTTCGAGTGCACTAAAAATATCTCCCTAAGGAAAATGAATATAAACATTTCAGGCGGTTACATTATGTAAATTTGATCTACAAGTTTATCATGGATAGAATTTAGACAATTAAACTTAAAACACGTAATATGAACAGACAAGTGAGAAGAAAAAGTTTTGCTTCTGTGGCTTTTTTCTGATATTCACAAATCCATTTAATTTCAGGGATGAGGCTACGTAAATTTGATATTCAGTAAAGTGGTGCTTTCTTCTGACATTTGGGGATACCACATGCTGTATGCACTATAGTCAATGGTCTCATTGCTTATATAGTTTAAGAAGCCTCTAGAAGAGTAGAATTAATAACATTATTAAAGAATCATTCCAGGGAATATGATCTAGTCTAATATGAATTTCACCCCATATGAATGAAATTCTACACACAGCTGTTGATTTACCTTTTCAGTCTTTTGATCTTATCAGGTGTAAAAATGTAACTGCAAAATTCTCTTTAAGGTTGAAGAGAACCTTAACTAACTCATATTAAGCAGCTTCAAGAGTGCATTGAGTTTGCTGGATCCAGGCTCTGGTCAACGATCTTTGCACCAGCAGTGTTTCCCTAAGCAAGTCCTTTCCTTGTTCTTACTCCACACTAATAATTAAGCTAGAGCATTGTTTTCCGCGCTCCATTAGGTGAGTGATCATAAGAATGATGATGAAGAGAGTGATGCCCATTTAGCCTGAGTTATTGGAGTAGATGTGTAAGAATTTCTCTTTTTCTTATTGTGCAAACTTCCTCTCCAAACTACTAATATTAAAATATGACCAGTTGTCTCTCCCTAGGAGGAAGATTACTATTCCTGGATGATTCATTAAAATATACAAAGAAACACATTTAAGTAATAACATGAAGGCATGAGACTATTCTGGGATGGGAGACTCTGGTGAAGCCAAATGCATGAACAGAAGCCAGCTATTAATCCACAGAAAATGCCCTGAATCATGTTGATTTAGCTATTAAAACCTGAATAAGGAAAAAACATCAACAACCACCAGAAAAAGAAACTCTTCCAAATATTGATGTTTAGACCTATGAATGGACTGTCCAGTTTCATGTGCCCCCCCGGATGTTTCTAAAGAATTATTATCCTTCATATTAACTAGTCTGATAGTTTTCTTCAAATTCACGCATTCCTTTCAGCCTATAACACCTACAATATGAAAAATAATACTAAAAATAAAATCAGCAGTTATATTGAAGCAGAAGTCAAGAATAATATTAACATTTTGGAATTGCCTCAGAAGTCAAATGCAATATATTTAAAAGCTGGTTTTGATTTTGTTTCTTTTGACTGTAATTCAAGAAAAATGACCTCATGGGATTTCTCCTGGTGGTACCAGGTAAAATAATACTATGATGGGGGTGGCGGGGGGTAACTGTGAAAGCTCCTAGGCTTGTGCAATGAATTGCATTTGTCTGTGAAGACAGGTTAATGCTGACAGAGGGGTAGCTAAGAAGACTAATGGACCGAGATGACAAAACCATAGCATCATAGTAAATAGATTTACTTAGATCCAGAATATTTAGCAAGCGATTTACAGGGACTCTGTATTGTGCAAGGTACCAAGATCTGAAATGTATTTGGCCATAGAAGTTTTTATTGTTTTTAAATCTGGTCTCTATGAAATGTCTTTGGCCTTAGAAGTTTTTATTGGTTTTAAATGTGGTCTCTACAGTCACATGGATTATTTCCGGGGGGGGGGGCAGGAAGGCTGAAAATTAATTCAGTGAAACCGCAAAATTTACATGTAAATTTTTCTGAGTAGGTCAAAATTCCCTGTTTTCCTATTCCCCGCTCCCGTAAACTATCTATGCTTTCATCTTGATTCCCAGTAATATTATAATTTTGACCTAAAAAGAGAGTGGAAAGATTATAATTCCAGTTTATGCCTCTGTTGTTAATCCACCACTTTACAACTAAATCCGGACAGATTTGAAACTCCTTCAAGTCCTCTTTCCTCTTTCCTTTCTAGCACACTCCCCTAACGAAATCACTAGGGTTTTCCTCTTTCCAACTCTCTAAAAATCTTTTCAATTCCTGCAAAAAGAGCAATGTTGTGGTTTGGCGTTTTTGTTCCTTTGTTTCAGGCTCCTGGGTATCTTACGATCCTTCCCCACAGATGCACAACTGATGAAGCACAGCCGTCAGAAGCCAATTACAATAAGAAGCGATGGAGCCCTTTGGTTAGGCCAGGCATGGTCCTAGGTGCCTTTGCTGGATTATACATGTTGTTTACTTCTTCCGACAAACCTAGGAGTATTGGTATTCAGTACGGTGATGAGACAATGGGAACTTAGAATGTATAAGGTTTTCCAAAAACTCACAAAACTACTCAATATCAGAGCTAGGATGAGGCTTGACCTTTATTTAGTGTCCCCTGAAAATCTGACTGCACAACATGGGAAGTCAGTTCAAAGACTATGAACATCCACAGTGAATTCATTTCCTTTTTTATAGTCATCGCCTGGATTTGCCTGGTTATTTTTTTGAGTCAGTAACTGCTAGGTTTCTGAGACCTTTTCACAATCAATATTTTAAACATAAAGGTTGAAGTTTTATATATAATGAAATCCAGATTGGCAAAGGATCGCAGGAATTAAATAAAATAAATATGTTCTTCTAAAAATATGTATGACCCTGAAATATTTGCTGATACATTAGAAACTATTTTACTGAAGAAAACTGATTTGCTTTCATATTTCTAAGCATACGTGTTTATATGTTATTTCTAACAGATTTAAATAGCCATTACATCTATAATTTTAAGTTAGCAAATGATTTAACATAGAGTCATTGTAACCACTTGAATATTGTTGTCATGCCATTTAAAATGTTTCCTTGTTCAACTGTTCTGTTGGCTTTTTCATGGAGGGCTTTATTTCAGGCCCCCGCTGATTAGATTAAGTGCATCTGTTTAGACGATAGCTCATTAACATACATTTCAATCTTGTTAAATGGAGACAGGCGAATTCCTTCTTAGGCTACTGAAAGAATATATGGAAACCCCTTTTTAAAATAATCTATAAATAAGATGTTTCCAGCTATATACAAACTCAATGTACACTTATTTTATCCTAGGTCTCAGCAAGTCCCATGATGTTAGCAGCTGTATTCAAAATATGAAACAGAGGAAGTGCATTCTTAGTGTCAAGCCCTCCATATGCTAACACGTCATTAGTGGGCCTTGTCTTCAGGCTATTTCCTTGACTTCCCAGGAACCTCAACTCTGATTCATGAACTTTGGCCTGTACAGATGCTCTCCACGTTTCCTCCATACCTTTCCCAAAAGTTCACCAATTGGCAGGTGGCTAATCTGAGTCATTAATCCATATTAAAGTGCCAATGGGAACTAAGGTATTATTCTGCTGCTACGCTCAAATACGTCTCTGTTTTTTTGTTTGTTTGTTTATTTTGCTTTGTTTTGTAAGATGGGGGGGTGGTCTCAAGCTGGACTCAAACTCTTAGCTTCATGAAATCCTCCTGCTTTGGCTTCCCAAGTAGTTGGGACTAATTGGCATGTGCCACTCCATTCATCTTTATTTCTGCACTTTATAAGAAGCCTTTTTGAGAATATCTCTAATAATGAGTAAACTAAGCATCAAATATAAAGGAGAGAGCATAGTATCAGAAGAGGTGTTTGTGTGCACGTGGCATATCCTCAAATTGCAAAGCTTCAAGTTACAAACAAACCCAGTATATTGGTCTTACATCAAGAGACATATCTATCTCTGCAGGCTTTAATCCATCTATTGTATTTATTAATAAATGACCTAATGTACAAAGAAAAGAAAATATCCTCTTGAGCAGTGGAGGGTTTCCAATTACAACCAGCTAGCAACATTTCACAGCCTTTCAGAGGTGACAAAATAAGAATTTTTAAATCACTTAAACTTTAGGTATAACTGAAAAGTAAAATTGAAGTTTTAACATACTTGAATAATTATTCCCAAGAGAAATAAATCTCTGAATGGCTAAAATTCATTTTGATTCTCCAGAATGGATTGATTGTCACAAATATTTTCTAGAAAATGGTCCTTGAGATACACATATCTCATTTAATATTATACCTATCAGCAGCAGCACAGTAATGATGCATCTGTAGATCCTTGAATCACTAGTAAGTTGAATCAACATATAAAACAAGCTAAGTCCCTCTGTGGACAAGTCATCTTACTTACTCTACCTTGCCAAGGAAGGAATTTGAGTTATTTTAAATATAATAAATATATTGAGTATTTTTGTGATGATTTCAGATTTAATAACTTTATAAAATATTGAAAAATTATTACCATTTAGTCAATTGTGTATGTTTTTGGCCAAATTTAAGTTTCTATACTGATTTCCAAAAATTTCCCCCCAAATCATATACTAGCCCTAAGTAGAAGAATATATTGTCACCTAAAACTTATTTCTCTGACATCAATGAATTTTATGGAATACCAGTTATTATATGAAAGGATCTAATACACTTTTTAACATAGTATTTCACTTTTGTAGAGATGATCATTGTCTGCTATATAGATAAGGACCCAAATAGAGATCAAACTTGACTTGCTACAAGATATCTCTATTTGCCATTAATGCAAAAGGACAAATAAGCACAAACAGATCTGGAGTAGAAATTAGAGCCAAATGTACTGAAAGTCATTCTGAAATGAGAAACAGCTAAAAGATATAGACAATGATAGATTTTTTTTCTAGAATTTTACAAGAACTCAAGTTCAATGAATAATAAAATAAATCAAGAATTATTGATTTTATTTCTAGTATAACCTATATATAACCAAAAGAGTTAGCCATATGCAGAAAAAGACAAATGAAAATCCTAGAGAAATAATTTCCAGACAGTGCACTTAATACTTGGAATTTTTATTTATTTTTTTATTTTTGTATTTATTTCAACACTTT